AATAGGCATGGGCAGGGGGTGGGATTTAAAGACTACTTCAATGCTGTCATTGATTGTGCCTAATGGTGGAGGGTGGGGGCAGGGGTAGGGAGAGAACTCCTCTGGTTGGCTCTTTCTTTCTTAATATTAATTTTTAGTTAACTTTATTTCCCAGAAAATGTAAGAGATTCTTTGAAGTTCTACAATGATAGCTGACACAGAGCTGATTCATTTTAAAAGAAGTTCTGGTATTTTCTCTGTCTTTCTGTATATGTGTTCACAGGGCTTCCCCCAAGCAGAATCTGCTTTTTGAGGGCAGTAACTCTTATCATAGAGCCTGGTAGATAGTCAGCATTTGATAAATACTTCTTTTCTTCCTTCTTTCCTCCTTCTTCTTTTGTCTTTGTATCTTCAGGGCCGGGCACCGTGAGGCACTTAATAAATACTTATGAATGAATGGCTCTATTCAGTTCTGCCCTTCCTGTCTAGTCATCACCATTGATCTCAGCCACTTCTATTGCTGTGATTGGCTCCTGTAACCTTCCTGGCTCTGTTAACAATGTGACCAACAGCAGAGGTGGTTCCACAAAGCAAGCTGAAGAGTGAGGGGTGGGGTAGGGTGGGGTGGGAGAACAGGTTTGGGTCTGGAGGCAAAGGTTCCAAAGTGCATGAAGGAAGGATGTGGGGGCTGGCCAGGGGAAGCCAAGCCCCAGACCTGAAATTCCAGTACCATCACCCTTCTCACGAAGGTCAGTTTGTTAGAATGGAAAGAGCACTTGAATTTGGGGTCAGAAGACTTGGGTTCCAATCCCAGCTCTGTTATTACGGCCCACTGCCCAGATGAAACTGCCTCAGGTTACACTTGTTTACTGAAGTTGGCAGTTGAGCAATGGAAAACAATAGCAAGACCAAGCACAAGAGCTCTCAGAACACAAAGCTCGAAGAGTGACCATCCTTAGGCTTGGCTGAAGGGAGGACAAATTCAATTTTTCAATAATGGAAGATTTTATTTGTGTTCTTACCAAATGTATATACAAATAGTGGTTTCTTATTTGTAAACTGTGCTACATGGAGTAATCAGCTTTGGCTTTTTAATTTGTATAAACCAGCTCCTCTGGTTTATTTCTTCCTCCACTAGGAATGCAAACATGCAGAGAGATCGGTCTGAAACTGTCCTTCAGAAGAAAATCACAGCATTCTTCTTTTGTTGAAGGCTGCCTATGGAAGTCGAGAGCCTATCAATTTGGAAGGAATGGCTGTGTGTGTGTGTGTGTGTGTGTGTGTGTGTATGTGTGTGTTTATACATGTGCTTGCATGTATGCATGTGTACGTATGTGCATGTGGTAGAAATCAATCTCTACTGTTTACATGGATGAAAAGACTTTTATCAGTCCCTTCCTCTCAAAAATAAATCTTCAACTAGGGAAGACTGAGGCTACCCATTCACAAGCCATCTAATACTAAGGAATTTGGTCATTTTGACCAAGGGCCATCATGCTCACTGGCTTGAGAATAGAATAGAAGATCCTCAGCCTGGCCTTGAAGGCCATCCACAATCTGACTGTGACCATTATGGCTGCTCTGACTTCACATCACCCTCTTCATTCCAATCTAACTGAACCACCAGCTATTCCCCACACACATGCTATCTCATCTCCAGCTTCCAGGCCTTTCCCAAGCAGTCTCCCATGTCTACAATGAACTCCCTCCTCACTTCTGCCCTGTAGAATCTCTAGCTTCCTTCAAGGCCTCCCCTCCCCTCCCACCCATCCAGTGACCTCTCTCTTTTTCCTCTTTCTCAAAATCTCTTCATACAAATTTGTGTATACTTTGTATTTGATTCTCTGTGGGCTCCTGGTATTTCTATAATAAGATGCAAGCTCCTTAAGGGCGGGGTCTGTTCCCAGTTTTTGTTTTTGTGCCCCCGGTAACCAGACCAGCGCCTTGTCCATAGTAAGTGTTTCATACGTGATTGCTCAAGTGAATAGAAACAAAAACATCTGATTCTTCTTTTCACCTTTTTATTCCTCTTAAAATTAATGTACTGCAGATGAGCAAGAGGGTGGTGGCTAGTTCAGTGTCCTCTGCATAAGCCTTAAAGAAATGTCTTTTTAATTGAAATGGACTGGATAGAGCTCATCTTAAACCGAGGCTATCAAGGTTCTCCAAGCAAATCCTGAGTTAAGCTTTTCTCAAGATAAACATGTGTCTGGCTTCCTTCACATCTCACCTCAAATCCCCCATTCTGCAGTCCCCCTCAAGGCCAGTGCCTTCCCTCTGGTCAGTAGCACCCACTTAGCTTGCCTATAGCTTGTTCCAACAGATTCTTTGCATATTGTCTCCCCTGAATCAGACTGTGAGCTCCTAGAGGCCGGGGACCATCTTTTACCTTTCTTTACATCCCTGGGCTCAGCACAGAACAGCCCCTGGCATGTAGGAGGGACTTAACGCTAGTTGGCTGATGATAGATTAAATACTAGTTTATTCACTGTGGGATGCTGTACCGTGGAAAACATACCTTAAGTAGGAAAAAAAGGGTTCACCTACTAAGGATTCAGAACATTTTTGGAGAAGGTTGTCTTGCCTAGTCAAGGAGGTACTTTAATATAAATATTATTAGATATTTGTTTTATTTTATTTAAATAAAATATATATTAGAAATTTTATTTAAATAAAATTAATAAATATTAAAATATATTAGGTATAACTGATTTTTAGAAGCTATCCACTCTAAGTGGATGACAGAGTTTCTTCACTACAAACAAGTCACTACTTCTTTGTGAGTGGGGCCTGTCTTTTGCCTGTTGATCTTCTCAGGGTTTTGAATAGTACCTTGCCTGTTATTTGATAAATCCTTGCCGAATGACTGACAGAAGAAAGGTTACTAAATTTTGCAGTTTACTTCTCATGTCAATGACATTTAAAAGATGTGTCTCTTCAGGGGCTGGAGACACTATCGGGACATACAAGATGTTCCATGTCATCTTAGGATCCTGCCTGTGATGAAAAGCTGAAGAGCCTGAAGTCTTCCCAGATGCCCTTGTGACGGCAGATTCAAAATGTAGATGGAGGAACACCCTCCCCCCCATCCCTTCTGAGGCTTCAATTTGCTTTCTTTTGCCACTGGAATAAATGCCTTAACACCACTGCAAAAGGCCAGAGGTTGTATTGTATTCTTGTAAGTATCCCCAGCATACAAATAGATACCTAATAATTATCTGTTGAATGACTGAACCCCTACAGTAATGTATAGGGCATTTCCATTTTGCCTAAGGAAACTTTACAATCAGAAGAGCATTGATTTGGGAATTAGAGGTCCTGGGTTGGATGACCTGTGTGACTGTGGACAAGCTATTAGTTTTCCTAGGTCTCAGTTTCCTTATCTGTAAAATGAGGGTATTAGCCTAACACCAGAGCTAGAGCTGGAAGGGACTTTTGAGGTTATCTAGCCCAAATGTCCCTTTTTGCAGATGAAGAAACTGAGGCCCAGAGTTATCCAGAGACACAAAGTTGTATGTAAGATAAGATTTAAACTCAAGTCTTAACTTTAGATCCAGGAACAGCACTGTACTACTATGGGACAGTGCCCTGTAGCTTTAAACCTCTGACGCTATAACATTAACCCAACATAAATATGGGTTAAAGGGATGAATTCAGTGACATCATCGAAGCCTCCACAGAGGAATGCCAGTTCCAAGTAGGGCATTTGCTTTGGATTAAATACAAGAGAGGTCAGAGTCAAATTATCTGGGGCGAGAAAAGCCTTCACCAAGAAACAACATGCAGTGTGTCTTCCCAGATAGAACGCAACCTCACTGAGGGCAGGGACAGTCTCTGTTTGTCTTTGTACCTCTAACACTTAGAACGGTACCTGGACATAGCAGATGTCTAATAAATGTCTGTTTATTGGTCGATGGCCTGGCTTATAATAAAGGAAATAGAGAAAAATTACTGATAGATAAGAACGTGACACCAATCAAATTGGATAGGTTAGTCTAACACACATGCAGCCTGTGGGAAAGTCAAGGGGGAGATACCCTCAGATATCTCCTAATGACTGATCTTACTCTGAAACGCCAACTATGATTTTTTTAATCTTTAAATGTACAAGTAAAGCTTACAAGTAAACAACCAATTAACTTCAGAACGATTGTACATGAAAATTAAATTTTTTTCTTCCCATCAAAAACCATCCAGACTTACTGGTCAGGTCAGCTGACTGAAGAGTTAATTACCAGATGACAGAACAATTCTGGGGTCACTGCTAGAATTCGAAGGTATTCATGCATAACACTAATTCTTGTGTCATTGGAGGATGTTAACACATTCTTGTGAAATACTGATTACTCAGATGTCAGTGCAATGAACTGATAGATGTGATACTTTGCACATTTTCTATACCAAGAATTAGTCTGTGCTGGAAATGACTGGCATCCAGCCGTGTGCACCCAGAGATATGATTCACAGGAGTCTGTGTGATTCATACCTTGCCCTGAACTCAGGAGCTAATTCAAATATGCAACACCTCTAATTTCAAAGTATCTCCCAGAGGGGAAGGGAGGGAAGGGTACAGAGTGTTCAGATAGTAAGTCTCTCCTCTAAAACCCTTCCTATTCCACTGTACACGGGAGTGCATTGGCCTCAGCGCTGATTTTCCAATGCTTGGCCAAGTAGCAGATATCACTGCAGAAGAAGGGATCCTCCCAAACAGCCCTGATTTAGTTACATACAGGCTGATTCCTTTCTCTTTTAACAAATGCACATGATCCATTATATAAATTATACCCCGCTTTTCATTACATGCATGAGTCAGCTACTAATGATTCCCTAAGACACTTGACTCTCTATTTTACAAATCACCATTAAAAGAAGCCATTATTCCTTAGGTCCTGTCTCATTACATTTCCTGGCTCTATCTTCTGTTTGTTTGGGTCCCTTCCATGTAGAAGAACAGCTGAACTGCCCACGCTTGAGACTTCAGTCAAAGAGCAGAGATGAATCATGGAAGAATGGGTCCTTACCATGCTTGTGGACTTAATGTAGACGTTGTCTTTTAGGTGGCATTTTCCATCATTTGGCACCACAATCCCTGCAAGTTTGCTATCAAGGGCAAGGTGAGAAGTCTGATCTGTCATCACAAGAAGCAATCTTTTAGCTTCCTTGCGCCAACCAATATGACTCTAAAGTGAAAATAAACATGCAATCAGACCTGACGAAACCACTTAGGATCTGTACCACGGGCCTTAGCTTTGCATATACCTAATTAATGATGCTGGGTCATAATAACTACTGAGTGGGTGATGGGATCAAAAACCATTGCTACTTCATCCTAGAATTTATATTTCATTTTGTCTTTCCTTTTCAAATCTTTGTTTATTTTATACTGAATTCAATAATTTGGTTTGATGGTGAAAAATGGCCGGCTTCTCTTTAATTACTGTAAATTTCCTTTAAAAAAGGTATGCACTGGGGCTTATATTACATGGTCACTGAGGTCCCTTTGAGTGCTGACAATGTGATAACATGATGCTTAGCAGGAATTAAGGATTATAACAACTAGTACCAATATGCCAGAGTTGTTGGGCATATCAAATTTGAGTGTATTTAAAGTGCTATCAAAATATCAGTATTATTGTCTATCTTTTGGGTGAATTCAAAGATACCAGTCTTATTATCTATCTTTTGGGTGAATTCAGAGATGGGAAATATTATCAAAAAGGATAGCCTTAATTTTCTTGGAAGGTTCTCTAAACTGTACGACTTCACTTTCATCTGAAGATAATGCCAACATTCGGCTTGGTTTGGAAAAGATGCGCCAATAGTGGAATTCTGTTTTTCCTCTCTAGGGTCTTCTTACATTGAGAAAGAAAATCAATGTCATTTCTTTCCCCATTATCCCAATTTAGTAAATATGCCTTTCTCAGAAAGTCCTGATGTTGAAAAAAAAAGGTATACACACTCAAGATTGTATTTTGAGTAATACTTTGGAAGATGAAAACAATATAAATATCCATTGCGACTGAGGTCTTAATCTTCTCCCCACATAGTACCCTCATATGTCCATTGGGGCTGAGGTCCTAATCCCATGTTGTCTCTGGAGACCAGTAGAAGAGAAGCATCTTGAGAGTGGAAAATAATTTTCTTTTTTGTCATTGTATCCCCAACACCAAACATAAAATGCAATGCAAAGTGGGCAATTAACAAATACTTATTAATAATTGATTGTTACTAATGTAGAACTGAAAACCCTATTCTTGAGTTCTGGTTCCAACTATTTCTACTTTATAACCATGAACAATTAACTCATTTGATTTCTTGAATTTCATTTTTTCTCATCTGTAAAATGGGGACAATAACATTTGTAAAACCAAAGCACAGTGTCACTGTGAGGAGAGTGGTTTCAAAGAGTGGTTTAAATAGTGTATGACATGACGTAAAGGTGAGTCACTTTCGATGACTCTTAAAAAGTCACACTTAATAACCTATGGCAACCTATGGCAACCATCCTGGAAGGTCAAGCTAGCAAATACCTGCATGAGTTAGAAGCCCCAAGTTCTTGAGCCGTGGATGAAATCTAACAAGCAAAAGCCAAATGACTATTTGTTGGTAATATTGGAGAAATATTTGTTTCAGTTATGGAATAGATTAAATGGTTTTTAGGGTCCCTCCTTATGGAATGTCTGTGATTCTCGTCTCTCTAGGTCAAGCAATTTTTTTTTAAATCCATGTAAAAAAGACCCTTCTGAAAAGTACGAAATTCTCACCTCTGGCAAAGCCCTTAGGAGACTATGTATGAGTTAAGTAGCCCATGTAGAAAGCCATTCTGTTCTGTCTTAATTCTTCTTCCCACACCTTTCTTCCCTCTTCCCCAAATAACCTAAGCCATATCCCAAACAGAAAGTACTGAGTTGCTTATGGGAGACAGGGTAAGCCCATAGGATTAGGATTCAGAAGACCTGGATTTGGTACCTACGGTCATAATTTACTCCCTATGCAATGTGGGGCCTGAGCTCTCTCATGGATATGTATTAGGGGACCAATCAATGAGGCCAGTCCTCAGAGCATACATAGCATTCCCTGCTGGTATCAAACCAACCAGTGAACTTGGGGAAGCAACTTGCCGGCCATGAGTGACTGAGGGGTTGGTGCTGTGTAGTGATGAGGAGTTTTCTAATTGGTTTCAAGAGCCCAAAGGATAAATGAAAGACTCAGAACTGAGTTATAGTGCAAAAGGAGCTCTGTATCCCTCCCTAGCATCTTTTTTGTCCTTAACTCTCCCCTGACATCTTTCAAGTGAAGGCTGGCTGTGGTCCACCAGGTGAGGAGGGCAGCTTTGGCTGTGCCTTCACTTCTCCTCTGGCTGCCATGAGTCCCTGAGTGCACAGTGCCTGTTTCTGGGGTCTTTAGTCTTTCCTGATCTTAGACAACAGGACATCCAGAGAGAACCGTATGACTTTGTAAGCTTCAGAAGTTCACAAGGACCATCAGAGGTCCAGGAAGCGGAGTCAGTGGCAGAGCCTGCCATACCCACAATGGCCAAGTCCAGTGGGGAGTCCAGAAGAGAGATCTGGCACCCAGCAGTGAACCTGACAGCTGAAAGGCTGTATCCTGCAAATCAGGGAGCCACTTGTCCATTAGCTAGGACACACCTAGAAGTAAACATAGTGGGGACTCCACCAGGAGCTAAAAGGAGCTCCAAGGCTAAGAGGTAACCCTTGGCTACACGGGTTCTCAACTTGTGTGTTCCAACATGTTTCTTACAGGTTTGAGTCCACTCCTCCCAGGGACTTTTTGTATGTATAGGAAGGAGAAGGTGTCCCACATGGGACAAACTTAGGAGTTGAAATCCACTCTCTTTAGGGACTTGTGTGTAGGTGGGGAGAGTGTGCCTTACTCTGGTTTGGTGAGGAATATCTTTGTGGTTCTGCTCTCAGAATGGTGAAGCACAAAGGGGCCAGATTAGGAGACAGAGAACCCAGGCTTGAATCCCAGCTCTGTCCCTTACTGCCTAAGTGATTTTGGGTGACGGCCCCAAGCTTCCGGTTGTTTATCTGTAAAGGGAGGGGCATGGATTTAATGACCAAGTCTTGTAACACTCTCAGCAATAAATCCAAGAGCCTATCTGTTGTGTTGTTGTCCTTATAGTTGTTGTTCAGTCATTTCCATTGTGGGCTTCCTGACTTCAGACCTGGCACTCTAAACACTGTACTACCAGTAAATTTGTTTGTATCTGGTTCATTAGTGTTGGGGAGATATGAACTGGTGATTGATATCATAGAACTCACTGGATGGGGGCTTGTGAGAAATACCATTAGAAGCCCTCAGGTTTACCCTTAAAACTCTGAAGATAAAAAGTAGACAGCCACCCTCTGGGGAGTCAACCTGAAAGTTGGCAGAGTGAGCTAAGAGGGGGTGAACAAAGGGTACATGGAAAGGATTGAATCTGATATCAGAGGTCTCTTCCAATATACTGAGTGTAATTTTTTTATTCCAAATGCATTCCAATTAATTTTCATTTCACTAGAGTTGACCCAGTCTTTGAGTCTATCAAGACCTTATTAACTATGAATTCACACTTTCTACTTTTGGCTAAATGAGAAAATAATCCTAAAATCAACCTGATCTTTAAGGATTCTTTCATCACTGATAATTCAGATATCCCTTTACCTGGCAAACTGCTGCCTGGAGCATGGCATCAAAACCTCCTTCAGGTGTATCGATATTCCCTGAGATTTTCTGTCTGTCAACTGCTCGTTCAAACTCCGTGATGTTTTCTGTCAGAGACAGCACGTGAATGTAGCCATGAGGTGGCATGCAATCTAAATTGTAATCGCTGCGTGGGAAGACAAAACACAGGGGTTAGTTTCTTCTCTGCTTTCAAAAATACCCTTTGAGTAACAATTACAGGGATGAAGTGGTAGACAGCCCTGATTTTCCATTAACTACATCTTGAAAAAAGAAAATCTACATTGTAAAAGCCATAAATAGAACGAAAAACAATATTTTTGAATATTGCACTTTAGAAATAAACGTCCAAGGGGAAAATACAGAGAGATATTGAAACTCTGTAAATTATAAGAGCAATGCCAATTTCTCCAGGCCAAATGATAATCATTCAATTAAAACAACTTCATCCAGCCTGGCAAAGATTTCTTCAATACCAATGGGTACAAGATTTCCTTGGTGTTGCTACTACCCCCATTCATGGGGGTCCCAGGCCTTGCTTGCCTTAGTATAGGGTTTTCATGAGTTAGGATGTCTATGCATGAAAGTCAGGATAGGAATGTGTGTGTGTGTGTGTGTGTGTGTGTGTGTGTGTGTGTGTGTGTAATCTATTTATAACAGGAATTCTTAACTTGGGGACTATAAATTATATATATAGATAGATAGATAGATAGATAGATAGATATAGATAGATAGATAACTATGTTTCAATATAATTTTATCCTTTATAAACCTACATTAAAATTATTCATTTAAAAACATTATTCTAAGAAGAAGTTCACAGGCTTCATTAGACTGCCAAAGTCAGAGGGCCATGATGTGACAGGCCTGGAGTCAGGAAGACATCTTCCTGAGTTCAAATATGGCCTCAGACACTTACTAGTTGTGTGACCTTGGGCAAATCATTTAACCCTGTCTGCCTCAGTTTCCTCATCTGTAAAATGAGCTAGAGAAAGAAATGGCAAATCATCCCAGTATTTTCACCAAGAAAATCCCACATGGGCTCATGAAGAGTTGGACATGATTGAAAAATGACTGAACAGCGACCTATCTACAATTATATATGTGTATACAATCTAATTTCTGTTTATGTGTATAACACACATAGTACATACATGTACATATATATACATTTACGTGGATATGTATGTGCACATATATAATATATTTATGCATGTGTGCATATGTACATATGCACTAATATATAGGTGGCTTGTGAACACACGCACACACAATATATGTGTGCACACATACATGTGTAATCTGTTATAGCCCCACATATGCACATACACATGTTTATGCACATGTGCATGCATATATTCATAATCCACCTATATGAATATATACATATAGCATATATAGAAACAAATACACAAAAATCTATGCAACAACAATATGTATATGTATATGCATATAATGTTTATCTATCATATTATATATAGATATAATCATAGATATGGGGTTCTTAAACATCTTTGGGTATCATGACCCTCTGATTTTGTCAGTTTGTTGAAGCCTATGGGTACCTTCTTAGAATAATGTTTTTAAATGCTTAAGATTTTAAAAATAGATTTACAAGGGAAATAAATTATATTGAAACATCTACCTATCTATCTATCCATCCATCCATCCATCCATCCATCCATCCATCCATCTATCTGTTTACAGACTCCAGGTTAAGAACTCTTGTCATAAGTAGATTATATGCACTTGAGACAAATAAAGCTTTAGTGACTTGCTCAGGCTCCAGCACTAGGAAGAGAAGCAGGATCTGAACCCAGGTCTTCCTGCTTTCGAAGCCAGCCTTCAATCCCTGTGTCTGTTTCTCTGTCTCTGTGTTCCTCCCTCTATCTCCCTTCCCCTCCCCTCTCTCTTCTTCCTCCCCTCTCCATCTGTCTGTCTCTCCCCCTCCTCTTCCACCCTCCCCCTCTCTCTCTCCCTCCTACTGCCTCCCTCCTTAACCATGTCACTGCTGACCCTGAAAGCTAGTACACAAGAACAGCTTTCTCTACCAAGCATTCCAAATCTTTCATTCATAAATATTATTTAAAAAAACCCCAAACAGCGGCAGCAAAAGAAACAACACCAACACCACAAGCATCTTGTGGAGCACTTGAACCCCCCCCCATCCACCTGCCTGGACCATACCCCACCCCCCAGCATATTATGTGCCTCAGCCATGCTCCCGGTACCTGCACTGATTGTGGATTCTGCCAGGGTGGATGCTAATATAGGGAGACACTGTTTTATCAACGTAGGATCCAAATCCAAGTCGAAAGTCATGGGAAAAAGATGCCATTTTCCGGGATAAGTCATTTCCAACAGAGTTTAGTTTTTCTATATTATTGTGCATGGAGGCTGAGACATCAACAAGATAATAAAGATCCACAGGGTATTTTTGTAAAGGGTGGACTTTCAGCAGAAAGCTAGCTTCAGCTCCTAATCAAAAGAAAAAAAATATGGATGTTCAAATAATTTTTTTGCCATCTGATCATTTATTGGAGGAGACTGTCAAGCAGAGAGCATAAATTCTGAAATTTAAGCATCTCTTATAGCTTCATGATTATTAAAAAAAAATATTATGTCACTTAAAGAAGCTGGTGAAAATGTCTCTAGTGTATCTGCCCAATTCCCCTGTCTTCACATTGGATTCTCCTCAATCACTGTGAAAAGTATTGAATGTAAACTCCCATTGGCATCAAGGAGATGATGTTATGTTAGGCATGTCCAGGTATGAAAGTAGAGTCAGCTTTCTGTAGAGCAGAAGCATGTGGCTGACTTGTGATGCCATTCCTGGGGTATCAGGAAGGTCTCTATACTCAAACACATCTCTGCTGGCCTAGGCTCATGGTATCATGGAGACCTCTCCCTTTTACATTCCTAAGACACAAGGTTGATCATGTTACTCTGCTCTTCAAAAATCATCAGGAGCTCCCTATTGTGTTTAGGACCAAATAACTCTTCAGTTTGGCAGTTGAAGCCATTTGCAATCTGACTCCCTCTACTTTTCCAAATTTCTAGAACATTACTTCCTTTCATAGACTCTCTGTTCCAGTCAAACTGTCTTACTTGTTATTCCTTGAACTAAGCATTCCATCTTTTAGCCAGCATAAAGATTCAAATTCTACCATTAGAGAGTCTTTGCTTTGGGCTATGTAAACATACTTTGTTTATTCAATGAGTATTAAGTGCCTAAGAAGGGGCAGTTAGGTGACAAAATGGATAGGGCACTGGGCCTGGAGTCGGGAAGACCTGAGTTCAAATTTGACCTCAGACATTTACTAGCTGTGTGACCCTTGGTTAGTCACTGAACCCTGTTTGCCTCAGTTCCTTATCTATAAAATGAGCTGGAAAAGGAAATGGCAAACCAATCTAGTATCTTTGCCAGGAAAACCCCAAATAGGGCCATGAAGAATTGGACAAGATTGAAATGACTGAACAACATCACTGACCGATGAATCATCAATTTACCTGGTTATAGGACATCCTTGTCTGTTCATTAAAGGAATCCCCTAATGACTTCTACAAGGTAGTGCTTCATTCTTCCAATTATTGCACATGCTTAAAAATCATAACAAAATTTAATTTTTAAAAAATTTCATCATACTTTAGTGGAAGGAGCCCTGAATTTTGAGTCTAGGGACTTGGGTTGAAATCTTGGAATCCTAACTTCAATGCTAACCCTAACCCTCTGACTGTAACCCTAATTCATCTTGCTATCCATGTGACTTTTGAAAAATCAATTCTGCTATCCACGCCTCAGTTTCACAGACTCACAGACTATTACAGGATTTGAGAGTTTGAAGGGACTTCTGTGGCTATCAAATATTGAAAGGAAACCCCACTGTCACATCTCTGACAACTGATTATCTAACCCCAACTTGAAGACCTTTAATGACAAGAAGACCATCACCTCTGGAGGCAGCCCATTCTGTGTTTGGACAGCTCCAGTTGTTAGGAAGTATTTGCTGACAAAAGCCTAAGATTGGCTGCACTTGAAGCTGTAACAACCCACATTCAAATCTTCCCTTGGACTCTTATTTGCTGTGTGATCCACAAGGCAAGCTGCATAAAGTCTTTGGGGCCTCACTTTCCTCAACTACAAAAGGGAAATAATAATAGGACCTACTTCACAGGACTGTTGTGAGGATCAAATAAGATAACATAAAATCTCCCTCTCCCTCTCCTTCTCCCTCTATTTCTCCCTCTCCCTCTCTCTCTCTCTGTTTCCTCTTCCTCCTCCTCCTCCTTCTCTCTGTTGTTATTGTTATTTTGACTATGTACTCTCAAACTGTCTAGGACTATAAGTTGTAGAGAAGGGACCAACCTGTATTGGTATAAGGAATTTTCTTATCTGGGAATTCCATATAGCAGTGAAATAACCAGTCCAATTCCTATCCCTAGCCCTCATTCCTATTCATGGTTTCTGAAACAAAATAGGGGCTTAATAAATCCTTATCAATTGAATGACTGAAAAAAGTCATAAAGTTCCAGTAAACTTCTGCTCTGATTTTTCTCCTTTTGAAAACTACAAGTTTTGTGATATGTGTGATGTGATAGCAGACCAAAGATGCCCTTTGAGTTCCCCTAGGTTACACATACAAATGGCTAGTTGGGGCTATAGCATGAATGAGTGGCTTGATCTAGTTCATCAGTGCTTCCTAGAAGTGACTGCTAAGGTACTCTCAGTTCTAAGGCTTCTATCCTTTGTCAAGTTAGCTCTGCCCCAGAGTGAAATGGGAAAGCTTCCTGGAGTCTTCGAGGAGATTCAGGATGACCTCTCATCAAGTATGCTTCGGAGGGTATGCCTGTTCATGTCTGGATTGAAATTGATGACATTGAGACCGATCCTTCCTATCTCTGAGACTCTGATCACTGAACATTTTACTTCTGTTCAGTCGTGATCCAGGATCTTCAACAAGATATATAGATAAAAACTCTCATAAGCTAGCTGATCTCTTCATCTCTATAAAACAATTAATTTCAGTTACTTCCAGAGCTGAGCCTTTCTGAGTCTGAAGGGGGTTGAGGGATCAGGTAGAAAGGTGTCTTCACTGACTTTTCTGGTGCCTTTTTCAATCACAGGAAGAGGACATAAAAAACTAAAGATGACTCCATTGTTTCCTCTTCATAGAATGTGTTTCCAAGTTGCATGGACTTGATTCTCCTAATCAACATTTGGTTATATTTCCAAAATCTAGATGAACTTTATTATATACTCATATGTGTGCATGTGTATATTTAATATATCATTCAATTCTCCTGGATCTTGGCCAGGATACTTTCCCTCTTTCTTGAACTCTGAGTGACACCATTTTAACATTAGAATCCTAGTAAAATATAATCACTTCAACAGACGTGTTAAATATCTCCTATGAGCATGTTACTGTGCTGGGCAATGGTGGTACCATTTGGAAGTTAGGGAAGAGGAATGGGCATAATTCTAAAATGTAACATTCACATACAGAATGCTCACCCCAAAGATGTCCTTTTCTTTAGGTAAAACCTTTGAGAGATCCCAAGCTGAATCACAGAATCTCAGAGTCATAGGGATCCCCAAAGTCACCTTACCCAACCTCTCTACTTGTTGGAGAATTTTCACTAAAATGGACCTGGCGAGGTATCCTCCACTTTGTCTCAGAGTCCTAAGGAGAAGGGGCCAATGACCTGTGAGGCAGCTCCTTAGGCTTTTGGCTCAATTTTTTGTGGCAGATCCTCTTAAAAGTCATGGCAGCTGAGATAATAGCTGCTGCACATTTTCCCCTGTTGGTGAAGTTCTTCATATAAACAACAATTAAGTAATTAATTCTAAGTTTGAGTATAGTTGATCCATAATATTCTAAAAATATTCTAGCAGGAATAGATATAAAGTTGGACGATTGGTAGAACTGAAGGGAAAAATCCACTGTCATCTACCCTTTACCCACTTTCTAATCTATTTCATTCCTTCTTATTTAAAAATACTGTGGTTTCATGGGAAGAAAACATTGAGTCTGGAGGCAGAAGACCTAGATTTAAATCCTAGCTCTGTTACTTTTCTATTTATTGTGTCCTGGGCAAACCATTTAACTTTTCCTAGTCTCAGTTTCCTGAACTGCAAAGAAAGGGGGTGGCATTAAATTCTATGACCTCTAATCTAGGCTAGTCTAAGATCTAACTCCAGCTTCATGATTTAGATGCATAGATCACCTTCAAAACCACCACCACCACAACAATATTTGAGACAGAGGCATGAAAGAATGTGAGAAGGGAGAGCCAATGCAAGTCAGTGTTCTCTAGGGATCAGAGACTGAGTTTCAAGGATCAATAGGCTTAACCAGACTGCCCAAGGGAGCCATGATACACAAAAGGTGAAGAATTCCTGATCTAGTTGGGTGTGCTGGTGCAAGCCTCTAACCCTGGCTGCTGGGGAGGTTGAGGCTGATGGAATACTCAAGCTAGGGAGTTCTGAGCTTCAAAAGGGACTTCAATTGGGTGTCCAGAATAAATCCTGCACCAATATGGTAAACCTCAGGGGATAAAGGGCCTGCCTAAAAGAGGACTGAACCAGCCCAGGTTGGAAATAATAGAACAAGTGAAAGCTGGGCTGATCATCAGTAATACTGGTCCCATGAGTAGAAGCTTCACTTCCAGCCTGGTGAGATAAAGACACTCAATATAAAAAAAATCCAATCTATTCAAACATTATAGATGAAGGGACTGAGGCCTAGGTAGTTAATTGGCTTGTCTAAGGTCACACATGTAGGGAAGATGAGAAAAGGGAATGTGATGGCTCTGCTTTAATAACCACAAGAGTAGGGGTATGCCAAAGTCACATTTGACTAATGAAAGAAAAGAAAAAGGGGGCCAGGATGGTGAAAGGTCTCAAGCTTAGATCCCAGAAGGATCATTTGAAAGAGGAAGGGATATTTAGCCAGCAAAAATGAAGACGCGAGGGAGGCATGATAGCTGAAGGGATGTCACTGGAAAAGGTACCAGGCCCTTTGGCCTCTGAAGGCAGAACTAGGAGCAATGGAAAGAAATGACCAAGATTCAAGTTCAAGTTTCATGTCAAGAAAAAGGCCAAGAACTAGCACCTAACCAGAGCAGGGGGATTGCCTGTACCATGGAAGTAGCGGTCCTCTGGCCCTACTGATCTTTAGACAAAGCTGGATGACCATTTACGGGGTATGATGTAGAGAGGATTCTCAGCCAGCCTGGGGTCCCTTCCAAAACTGAAATCATCCAGATTTTAGGATAATTGATTTTGACCTGGGCAGGACCATCCAGAGAAGCTCATGCAACCTCTTCGTCTATAGTTGAGGAAAATAAGAACAACACAGGTGAAGTGACTTATCTAAGTGGCATATGACAGGATTTGAACCCAGGTCCCCTGATGCAATATACAGTGTGTTTTGTAATGTATCATTATGCCAGATTCACAGAAGAGGGAAAAGAAT